TGCACATATAAAATATGTGAACTGCAAAATGTGACAGCAATACATTTGTACTTGTGGAGTGGAGGTTTCCTGTTTAGAGTAATAATGGACTTGGTTATTCAGATCACCTGTCCCAATGGAAGCTTAACAAAGCTAAATAAAATATAATTTTATATATTGTGAAAGAAAAAACTCTGACAGTAACAATAAAGTCAACAATGTGCAATTTTATATAATCTTTTTTTAATTATTTAATTTTATTTATTCATTCATTTATTTTAATTTGACCAGAGAGAGACAGAGAAAGAGAAAGAGAGGGAAAGTGAGAAAGGAAGCCACCAGGTCCGGGACTCAAACCATGGTCAGCCATGTGGGAGTGTCCAGTGCCTTAACCACCATGCCACCTGCTGGTCCCATTTTTGTATTTTGATGGTTCAAATTTGAAAGACTAAAAAGTATTAAGTAATAATATTTGAAATATTCCTCCGTTAGGTAATAAAATTGTGACAACTCTTCTAAGGTTATGGTATTCTCTGAAAGATCTACAGAAACAAGACATCTTTTTTGTGTGTAGTGTTCTAGTCTTTATGTTCTCAAATGTCCCAGATATAAGAGACATACTTTATAATTCACCTATGACATGTATCACTGGATCGCTTTCCTATGACCAAAAATAAATAAATAAATAAAAAATAAAAAACCTCCATGTTAAAGAAATGATCAGCAGAGAACTCAACTTATTTCAATACACTTAAACCAGTGGAAACCTGCCTACATACTTCACACAGGCCCTCCATCATCCTGTTATGCAAGCTGCAAGATTTCAAGCCAGCTCCTTCATTTCACTAGTGAGCCCTGTCAACACTGAGGTAGTAGAACTGGAAAAACTCATCACTCCACAATGATAGTCAAGTATCAGAATTTATTTCACTTGGTAAAAATTATATTATTGCCAAATAAAACTAATGCAAATATAGTAAAATATGCAAGGTTTTGAGTACATCATTTGTTGAAAAGGACTCCTGGGGAGCTTCAAATTCATCCTGCAAGTGCTTAGGCATTCTTTCGCACTTTTCCCTTTTTCATGCCCCATCTCTCAAGTCATAGGGTTGGTTGGGGAGGTGGGGGAGTAAGAGAAAACCATCATGAACTAATCAGTGTGTATTTATGCATGTAGTTCTACTCTTAATTTTATTTCCACAGGTCTTTTCCTCATACTCTGCTCCTCAAGGGAGAGAGCTATGTTTTATTCATTTTTGAACTCTCAAAAACCTACCAAATGCCCTGCATATAAAGTCGTCCCTAACCTCTATTACAAGGTAGGCACTGGCATTAGAGATGTGAAAGAGAACGAGACCCCACACTCATGGAACCTACAGTATAGGGAGGGAAAGGGAAGTACCAGGTATTGGCTACATGAACTTGATCAAGTGATGACAGAAGGGTTAGTATAGACCCTGTGTTCTTTTCTCTTGCAGTCAACACAGGCTTTAATGGGGAACAAAAGTGGTCTTTCTCTTCAGAAGTATGTGTATCTGCAGCCTTGACCACTCCCGAGTTCCATATTCATACACACGCATACTCAACATGCCCACTTGGAAGTGGATGCAAGCATTGATTGCATGGACCATGAAGCCAGACTGCTTGAGTGCAAATTCCAGTTCTATCACTCACAAGCTGGGTGACTTCAGGCACTTATAACTTCTCTGTACCTCCATTTTCTTATCTGTAAAATGGGGATATAATGGATCTGAGCACATGCAATTGTTATGAGAGTAAATAAATTAAATAATAAAGTACTTTAAATTCTGCCTGGAACACAGTTTATGTTAACATGATGCTTAATATTATTACTAGTGTTATTACTATGTCTAACAGGCATCAAAAACTTGTCCAAAACTCAATTAGTAATGGGGCCAGCAGATGGTCTAATGGTTACATTGCTGGACTCTCGTAGTTGACAGTGGTTTGAGTCCCAGACCCAACAGCTTAAAACTCATGCTGGGTTCATGTTGTGTATGCTGAAAATCCCAAGAGGAGAATGTTGGAGAAGGGACTGTGGTGTGGCCATGCTTCCTAGGGGATGACTTTTCACTTTCTGTTTCTCTGTCTCTCTCTGTCTGTTAAGTGCATGTACCCTATAGCAAAAATTTCTCTTAAAAAAAAATTCATAATTTTCTTCCCAAACCATGTTTTCTGTGTCCTCCCTTTTCAGTAAACAGTACACCACTAGGAGAACTAGGTGTTCCAGCCTAGACCTAAGAAGTCATCATTCCATCCTCCTCACACTCCAAATCAGCCAGTCCTATCAGCTCAACCTTCATAAGTATTTTACTAATCGAACCACTTAGCATTTTCTCCTTAGTCCAACTACCTACCTTAGCCCAAACTACCACCCATGTGACCTTCCTATTTTCCCATTTTCACTCCCCACCACCTCATAACTCTGCATATAGAGCTTATTAATTCTTCTCAAACTTCAATCAGATGCCATTCCCTTGAGCAAACCTTCTAACTGCACCCTAGCCTACAGGGTCCCCATCACCTGCCTGGCTCTCCAACATCAGCTGTCCTCATTTCCCTCCTTCCCTGCTGTGCTCTGAACAGGCTGTCTCCAGCCTCAGGCACATTTCCACCCCAGAGCATTATCTCGGCTGCTCCTGCAGTGAGGCGTGCAATACAGTCATTTGGAGCATGGACTCAAATCAGATTCAAATACCAATTTACCTTTGCTCCAATTCAAATACCGTCACTACCAAGTTTCAGCTGTGCAACCTTAAGCAAATTCTTCACCCTTCTGTGTGTCAGTTTCCTCAGCTACAAAAATAGAGGTATTACTATTTCTTTCATAAGGTTGTAAAATTTTAATGCAATATTTAAAACTTGCTCTATTAAGTGTTCACTGCCATTATATTTCTGCCTGGAATATCCATTTCTCAACCTATTTCAGTCACTTAAAAAAAACCCCCTACCCCTTCCAATGGCTTCTGACAGACTGTAACAACCTGCCTGTTCCCACTCTGTCTGTAACTTACCCTTCTTCATTTCGCTGCACTTATCACTACCGAAAATGATATCATGCCTTATTTTGTTTTCTAATTCCTCACTGCTGCCTTCTTTGCAGCCCTATTTCTAGTCCTGACTCAGAACCTGACTTTTAAATGCGCAAATCCTGTCCATACTAGGGGACCGATGCAAACCTCTTAATGTTACCATACTTAGAAAGCCTTTCTTTTTCACACTCATGATCTCATTCAATCCTTGAAAAAGCAACTGCAGATATACCATCATCTCCAATTTTTGAGATAAGAAAAAAAAAAGTTCCAAGTTTGGGTGACATGTCTTTGGACACATAGCTTATAACTGGTAAAACAAAAATTACAACCCCTGGCCCAGCCATGGTGGCACAGGCAGTAGGACAAAGCTGCTTGATGCTGCAGTCATATGGTAGGTTAGGGGATGACATCCTGGGTCAAGCCCAGCATGCTGGTCACCTGGCTAGACAGAGGGTTGTGGGAGGGAGTGCAGCGTGGCAAAACCTTGCAGGAGGTCACTGTCTCTCTTGCTCATTCTCTTCCCCCTCTCTCATGAACTTAATAAATAATCTTTAAAAATTATAATCCCTGGAGCCAGCAGGTGGTGTGGTGGTTAAAATATTGGACTCCACATGTCAGACTGCAGTTCAAGTCTGGACCTGGCAGCTTGAAATTCATGCAGGTGCACATGTATGCATGCCCAAAATCTAGAGAGGAGAATGAAGATGGGATTCCAGGGTGGCCACCCCCCCCCCGGGGGGGGGTGATTACTCCCTTTCTCTCTCATTGTCTCTGTCTCTCTGGTTAGTGCACATCAGAGGTTTTTTTCAGACAATAACCTGGGTGGGGGGGAGGGCTGTACAATCTCTGCTTTTAGATTTCAAGGCTGTCCCTACTCGGAAGGATGAGAAGATATTACACCCTTGAACTAAATTTACAGAATGTGATCTCTCAATCTCTTGTATTTACAGTGAGGTGTACACAATACTCTTCCCTTCAAAGTTCCTAACAAATACTTGTCCCAGAGTTTAAGTATGGAACTAACTCATCAATAATGTACTAGTGTGTGGCAAGATTTAGCCAAAATATTCAGTTAGAATTAGATACTCCAAGTGGACAGCGATAACCCCGTAAAGCTCAGTGCATCCGTGTTCGGTATGGTGTGCTAGTTTCAACAAGCAAAAAGCATCCCTATAACTCTCAGACTAGCAGAGCACTGTAACTGCCGAGAACACTGTGATAATGGTACCGGCTCTTTCTTGATTCCCCACTTAGTCAAGTTCAGTGACAACAGTTCAGATCAACCATCAGGCTCAAGTGTCCTCCATGATCTGATGGGTGGGAGAGGAGGGAGGGGAAGGCAAAAGTGTGAGAAAGATCTCTACCTGCAGGGCCCTTTGTCAAGTGACCACTGGCCGCCACATTCCTCAGAATAATCAACCGTCTTTAAAAGCTTTCTCCTAGCAAGTTCACACAGGCTTGGGTTATCTCATGTACTCTCTCAGTGTTCCCGGTCCTCTGGGAGCGACAATCAGGGAGGCCAGAGGCCGACACAGAAGGGAAACTGGGGCAGCGACTGGTTATAACTTGTCTTCACCGATTTGGTCACTCGGCGGAAATCTCAAAAAGAGGTCTGGACACAGGATTCCCGGTCTCTGAAGAAACGCTCCAACCCACATTTCACATGTCAAACTCCACGGCTGACGCAGCCAAGAGCATTTAAATTCTTTCATCGAGGCGCTCTCCATTCGGCCCTTCCCCTCCCGGGCCTGGCTCGGCGGCTCGCAGGCCCCTCCCGCCCCAGGGGAATAGGTGCGGGAGCTGCCCAGCGGGGCGCCGCCTGGCCTCCCGCCCTGGGTCCCTCCGCCCCGAGGGCGCGCTCCTGCTCTGGGCGGCACCTGTCCCTCGGCCGCCGCGCCGGCTCCCCCGATCTCCCAGCCCGCCGCGGCCCGGGCGCAGGCGCAGGCGCAGACGGCCGCTTGGCCGCGTGCCGGGCGACTTCGCAGTCCTGGCCGCTGGGCGGGGCCGCACTGTGCTTTCACGGGGCCTGCGGCCAGGGAGGGGCGGGGAGATGTTAACCGAGAGTCCTAGGAACGCAGCAAACACGCGGCTGCGCTGGGGGAGGAAGTGGGACGCCAGGATTGTGAGGTACTTTTTCCACAGACATGACTTCCTCCTTCCCTCACGTGTTCTTTGAAAACTCTCCACGTGTGGAAGCGGCCATTTGCTCTCTACCAGGTGCCAGCCCTAAGGCCCGAGGACTCAGCGCTCCCAGGAGCCCGGCCCCGCCCCGGTCGCGATTGGCCCCTCCCCGTCTAGCCAAGCCCACGCCCCAGCGGGCCCCGCCCC